TATATTATACCTAAAGCGCTCGGAAGATCCGGAGGTTAGGTATAATACTAATAAATCGGGTACGTATTATTAATACTGACATAGCGGTACGCCATAGCATCCGAGGCCTCCGTGATTCCTTGTGGCTGCACCACTGACTTTCTTCGGCCACGGTGTTACACTCGTAGGCTTAGTCTTCTAGAAGCTAGCCCTACGGAGTATTCGCTAGATCGTTATAGCCGATATCTCGATACCGAAATAATTAAGATCGCTAGCGATATTAGCGTAGCTTTTCTCTCTTCTATATCGATCGCGGCGTATAAGCTTAATAACCTTTTCTTTAGTAGCGGTCTACTTAGAAAGATAGCTAGAACGAGGGTTATCGGTAAGAAAGGCGTCTATAAGGATAATCGGCCGGACGGTAGGTTTAAAGCCTCGCGCTATAGCGCGGGCAAATATCGTATTAATTATACTCTTACTAACGCCTATAAGGGCTATTACCTTGATAGTGCTCTTATTCGAAGCCTTAAGGCTTATAATCATAGCCCTTATAGCAATATCGGTATATAGTATCTTTACGGTCGGCTTTAAAAGAAAAAGGAGTTATATTTTATGAATCACGATAGTATTCGATAATAAGGGGTAAGTCGGCCTAGCAGATTTACACTTAATATAGTGCAAAAGTTCCATGGGTGTAGCTAATCCCTGATCTCCTAGCGTCTTGGCAACCAAAAACTTTTGAGAGCGTCCTCCGTACATCAAACAGCAATGATTGTTCTGACAGACCGCGAGACACCCCACTAATTATTCGTGAACCAATCACGAATTAGCTCGGAAACGCTCGCACTGAGCCTCACTAAGCCATGTCCAACCAGTCGTGGGGAGCTCGAATATATGCTCTTTCCAAGCATACCGGAGCCTCGGACATACTCGAACCAAGCACCACGGATCACCAAATATGGTAGTACATAGGAAGCTACGCTTCACTACTAAGTTTTTAGTCTCTACATTAGCTCTCCAGCTATCAATAACAATAGTCAACGCATATTGACAGCTGTTTGATCGGATCCGCGAAATCGTGTATTTAAACCCCTGCGCTCCACTTTTGCCGCCTCAGGCTGCGGCTGCTTGGCGCTTCACTGAAGTCCGACACCGCCGCCGCCCTCCTTCATCTCTTGCGCGCTTCCGTCATCCGTCTACATTCCCATCCCGATTTCGATCTTGCGACCCCGAACAACACCGCTCTCTTGTCCTTAGACTCCAAAACCGCCACGCCCGTTCGAGTTCATCCTGAGCACCGAGTATCCTCGCCCCGCGCCCGAAGCCATCACCCACCGTCCGCCACCTCGTGACACAAGTGGCCACTACCCTCAACGATCGTCAAGATGGCGATGAAACGATTGACACAAGAGTTGGGCCCTCTGCAGAAAGAAAAATGGGTGCTCATCTACGTAAGTCATTCAGCCTGGTCATAATACAGCCCTGCTCACCAGACACAGCCCGACGAGAGGGACATGCAGCGTTGGAGGCTGGGCCTCTGGGTGGTCAACCCCGACAGCGTCTGGCATGGCGCTTACCTCAAGGTGAGGCGAAACCACAACGTCTCGCACACGAGGCGCAGCTGACCTCTATGCGTTGCAGGCCGAAATGAAGTTCCCAAACGACTACCCCTACGCGCCGCCGACCTTCCGCTTCCTGACAAAGAACATCACCCACCCAAACGTCTACGCCGACGGCGACCTCTGCATCTCGATTCTTCATAAGCCTGGCGACGACATTACATCCGGCGAACTGGCCAGCGAACGCTGGAACGTTCTCCACGGCGTCGAGTCGGTCCTTCGCTCTGTCCTCCTGCTACTCGACGACCCCGAGATCAACTCCCCCGCGAACGTCGATGCAGGCGTCCTCTACCGCGATCGACGCGCAGAGTATGACGCGAGAGCGAAGCAAATTGTCGCCGAATCTCGAAAGAGCGTCCCTCCGGGTGAGCGGATGCCTACGGCAGAGGAGCTGGCGCCGAAACCAGTCGCGTCCGTCGACGACGATGCTGACTTTTGGAATATGACGGATGAAGAGGATGAATTTGGCGGCAGCGACAGCGATGCGGACGACTTTGAGGATGATGATGATGATGACGACGACGATAAGAGTCGTTGACGACGCATGGGCACATGCGCAGACTAACTACCACATTACGATTTGGGAATACCGGCCACGGGATGCATAGCGAACAATTGCGTTTTGGGCTGTCTTGCATGCTCAATTTTATTTATCAACTTTGCGGGCTCTCTCACCTGTCCTGCGAGTCACCGCGCGAGGTTGCAGGCGTCATGGATGGAGGAGCTACGGGATTTGCAATAGTCAGGGTGCGCAATTGGGAGCGGTCAATAAGGAGACGCCTCGAGCACTTGATCCCATTACAATAGAGGACTCACTCATTTAGAGGTCTGTCTCGGTGCTTGGAAGATAGGATACCTAGCTTAGACAGGATCAGCCAATTTTAGCGTACGCGAAGGACGCCTCTCTTATCCTTGGCCGTAGTGAAGGTGAAGTAGGAAAACAACACATCATCCTAGACCTGGTATTGGTTGACTGAATGGCCGTACTAAAGTGAAGTGTCGGCATTTGAGGTAACTTGTTAAACATCGGGCTCTAGCAACGTTCAGTCAGTCGGGGTTCGGATTTGGTAGGACGGCTTTCCATGTCACGCGCGCTTGCCCAGTGAATCCGTCATCGCTGTGGAGTAGTGAGGAAGGCACGTCCTTTTGGCAGAAGTGCCACCTCCATTGAAACTCCAGGTGGATGCCGCGCATCATCTCCGAGACCAACCTCCAATCCATCTTCAAGGTGCTCTGCGACATTCAGATGTAGCTAATATCATCGCATCTAGGTCCCGGAAATTGCAGCATTCTTCGGACTATTGCCTTGACCAGCGCGCATTCTGCCCACAGGCAGCTTCAGGTACTCGACCGGACAAATTGCGCTGCTCCAAGTATGGAGAGGCCCGACAATGAAGAAACCATTCACATGGTGTGCGGAATCACAGCCCTCGATCCGATTAACGATAGGACGCTCGTATCCAATGCTCTGATAGTGCGACATATCCTTCGAGTTTGTAAAAGGCCAGTTTGCTGACAACAATTAGAGCCTTGGCAGTGTCGAGAGGGTAGTGGACGACTACTTCACGAGCGAGGGTTCCGTGAGCTGGCCTCTGGCGTTCATACACAACGCGACAACGACTGACACGGTGCGCAGTTTCGGAGCAAATATACAACGGCATGGAATGATTCGGCATTCTCTGGCGATCGAGATGATTCACAGAACGGACAAGAATTTGGTGAGAATCCAACCCTCAAGTGCAATGCCGACGACATATGCTAAGAGTTTGCAGCATATAACATTCAAGGCCCCGATCAGGGTCCCACGTCTCGCCGAAATTCAGAAGAAGGCGCTCAGCAATTTCCTCGACCGCCCTCGCGCACGAACAACACCACACCATTGAACGGCCTGACAGACTACGCTGCCCAGAATGCAGGCGTCCAGCCATCGCTCGCACAGCAAGAAGAGGACAACCTACAGCGGGCGATAGAGGCGTCGCGCCGGGACGTGGCTGGGCTGCCTGAGCTGGACTACCAGGACCAACAAGAGGCCGGTGTTCTAGGCGCAGACGGAACGGCACAACCCCAATTCGGACCAGCCACCCGGCCTCACTATGATTTAGAGTCCTGGAGTTTAGTTCAGTTGTCGGATCACGCGGTCCCGGCCTCGCAGCGGAAGCGCCAGCCAGAAGCACCCGCGTTCATTCGAGGCGGTGTGCTTGGGGGGTACTTGACGATTCTTCACTCGATACCCACGGCGCGCAACTTGCTCTTGAAGAAAGGCGAGGAGCCGCAGACTTGCGCGCATTACCCTCAATGGTGGAACGGTCAATGGGAGAATTCGAGTCCTGTTGAAGATTTTAAAGAATGTGACGTGGATAGTCCTTCTTTCATCGAGATAGAACTCGAATTGAAGCGCTTGATGGCCTTCCTGGACGACACGGAGCGGAGCTATGCCAGCTGTGAGAAAATTTCCGAGCATCTGGGATCTGCAGTTTTCGGGGAGTTTAACTCAGTTACCGAGAGCTTCAATTCCTACCTCAACTGGGGCAATGAAGACACTGATATCAAGGAGAAGTTTTGCTCGACGATTGAGTCGAGATTGCCTGACGGAGAAGTTCTGGGAAGGTCTAAGTGGTCATCACTGGTGGCCAGGAACGTGAGAGACGATAGCCTCAGCCTGTCTACTTTGTATGAGCTCATCGATACGATACTCTGGGAGAATTTGTATGAGAACGACCGGCGTGGGGTCACGTCTGTTTTGGCCGAGACGGCCGACGTGTTCACCATTTCGGTCAACTCTGATACAAATGCAGGGATTGTCCAGATTCCCGAAGAGTTTTACCCTGAGAGGTGGCTTGACAGCCGCTTTGAAGAGGCTCTAAAGATCCAGAAAGGCTTACGAGGCGCACGAAAGAGCTATCTGGAAGCATCGAAAGCGAGAATGAACCTTCCGACATTCCATGACCCCGTGGCGGGGACCCGAGTACGAAAGAGAGAATACCTCGAGAAGACGGAGGGGCGGCTTCAAGCATACAAAGATTATGTTGAGGGACGGGCGCGCTTTCGGACTGTCGCCAACTCGGACTACGAAGTTGATCGATATCCCGACTATCGCCTAGCCGAGTTCGAGCTTACAGCTGAGGAGACAACCTTACATGATAGAGTGGCAAGGGCGGCTGAGTATTGCAAATCTGCCGTGGAGCATCATGGGAGCCAAACGACCGGTGCGTGAGCTGAAGTGGAAAAGGATCTCGAGTGGTCACTAACAGTGTGGCAGCGGCCAATTTGGAGCTCGAGAGGATCCGGGCCAAGCAGAAGTTCCTCGGGCGTCTCTTGACTGAACCGAACAAACTAGGCCGACCAAAACCGATGACCTGCAAGAAGTACACCTTACGAGGCATCGCCACGGATGATGCTGTGTACCTGCGTAAAGAGGCAGATGGCGACCTGATCGAGCTGGACGATGTTCAGCCAACAACGGAGAGTCAGTGGTGGCGGCTAGCGCATGATGCTAGGAGCAACCCCTATCCCGTCACGACCGAGGTACGACATCCTTCTCACCTTGCTGATCATTACTCACCAATCCAGTTACTATCGTTTGACGAAATGCACAGTCGAGTTTGGACAGACTCCAAGCAACCGATGATCGTATATTCGACGGACGAAACCACGAAGGAGCATAGAGAGGCGTTGCCAGCGGCTCTTGGGCGCTTCATCAAAGTCGACAACAAGGCCTTTCGCCAGGAATTGCAGCAGGAGGAAACGATGGAGCGGCAAGGTGATATGATTACGATGTTTGACTCCACGTCACCGAGCAAGCGCAAGCATAGGGAAAGTATAGATTCGATGGCTAGCAACCGACCTTCAGTAGGCGGTAGCGAACGCGATCCATTCGCCAGCGACTACTCAGAAGCGGACGAGCCAAGTCAGAAGCGGCGCTCGCCGCATGACGATGAAGCATCACCGCCGCTTCCCCAGAGACCCGGGTCAGCACAGCCGATGGAGCTTACAATGCCAGTGATTGATGGCGTCGAACCAGCGGAGGAAGAACCCGTTACAGAGATCCACGTCGATGAGAAGACTATACAGTCGACCAACTCCAAGCCGCCCGAGATGCAGGAGAGGCAGCAACCCGGGACCGTTACTCAATTCCTCAGCACTGACGGGGACAAGACGCCGGCTGGAGGGCAGCAAGATCAGGTGCGAATGGACCTACTTTGATGGTCGTGGAATGATTCAGTCACTGCATTCAGCAACGGAGGGTTCCCCTCGGTCTGCCTAGCGAGCAGCATTTCTAGTAGATCTGGGATTTGCGAGGACGGCTCGAGCGTTGATTTTAGTTACAGTACGGGTAGCCTAACAAAGCCATGATCCCTCGACATTCATTCGCGCTGCGCCAGCAATGGCACTGTGTATACTGTGCCAGGTACGGTCTCTCAATAACACTGCCCCGTTATCTCCAAGTAGTGGGCAGGGGCCAGGTGAGCGCGCTCACGCCTGCTCACCCACCAGTCTCACCAGCTTGGGATCCTTTTACAATAAAGCCATTTGTGCGAACTACGAATATTCACTTCAAATTCAACACTGCCTTCAGCCCTGTCTGTCCTTTTGCCATCTCCGAGATGCTTAGTGGGCGTATGAAGAGTGAACCATCGTACTCCAGATCCGGCTTGACTTACTCGATATACATACTACGTCTTTTCATGTCGTCCATAGTCGTACTCCAGTACGTACTTACACCAAATGCGGACCAAGGAGCCGTAGTTACGTACGGTACGGTACGTGCATTAGCGCAAGAAGTACGGGTATCGGCAGGCAAGCTAGTCGGAACTCGGAGCCTCAGGTCTATCTCACACACAGTGTATACACGTACAGAAGGCTACGGGAAACATCTGACAAACGAGTAAATCAATCTATATGACCTGGCAGTTGTGCTTGAGCTCGGGTTTGCGCGTCGGACTCGTCTACCCAACCTTGCTTCAGGTCATGTCAATGGGCTACCCTGCACATATCAACGCTAGGTCACTGTCCATAGCATTGGCCGCTTAAGATAAAATGTTGTCAGTACCGCAACCTGACAGCAGACGTCCACGAATCCGGGGAAATGTGTGTGGTTGTTCTGGGTTACGCGCCATTTTGCGGTATGGCATTCTTATTACTGGCAGCCAACCATTTGCAATTGCTGGAACTCGAGTTCAACGAGTTGACCAGAAGGTGGGCCCCCCATCGAAGGTTCCAGAATATTCTACCAAGACAAGCACTCGGGGCAGCTCCAAATAAGTCGTATTTGTACAATAGATATCCAAGAGGTTGTTGATGCCTCAAGCTGTGGACGACAAAGACCGATTCTAATATCTAGCATTGAAAAAGTCAGATTTTTGAACTGATGCGAGCCAAATTTGAGTGACCTTCTGACCATAAAACCTTCTATCGCATTGCCCTAAGTCTAGTGTTGCACTTGTTACTAGTAACACGACGAGCACCATTACTTGACAGAATGAGAACGATCATTATAACCCTCGTCACTTTTTGTATAGTCCAACACTCACCAGTACATTGGAAACACTAGGCAATAAAGTGGCGATCACGAAGCAGTGTCTTGGGACTGACTTCACCGCATCGCCGCGCATACGTCACTTGGAGGAATCTTCCAGCTACACCCAAAAGCAGTGGGGCTAGGCCGCTCACACCCCATAAACGGACTGCCTGTTGACGACTGGGCGCCCATCGAGTCTGAGCACCAAGTCATCCCAAGGCTCTCTTTCTTTTTTCTTGCTCGCGATTTCTTGACTTATCCAATACGCCCGACATTAACCCACTATCACTTCACGACGATTCTTTGCACAAGCTCAAGCCAAACTCAACTGCGCACGTTAATAAACACACCAAAACCCATTGATACCCGACGAGCGAAGGCGTGACGTTAGATCACAGCCCAAACGTCATGGTTCAGGAAACTAAGCTCTACAACACCCTCGGTGTCAAACCAGAGGCTACACAAGACGAGATCAAAAAGGCATACAGGTAAGGACCGAATTTTCGCAAGTGTCAATTATCTTGCAGCATGTGCTGACCACATTGGTACAGGAAAGCAGCTCTTAAATGGCACCCCGACAAGAACAAGGACAGCCCTGACGCCGCCGAAAAGTTCAAAGAATGCTCCCAAGCCTTTGAAATTCTTTCCGACCCCGAGAAGCGCAAGATGTACGACCAATACGGCCTCGACTTTATGAGCCGTGGAGGTGCACCGCCAACGGAGGAAGCAGGTGGTATGCCCGGCTTTGGCGGTGCCGACTTTGGCGGGTATCCTGGAGGCGGCTTTGGAGGCATGCCTGGCGGCGGTGGTCGCACATTTCACTTCAGCACAGGCGGCGGCGGCGGTGGTGGCCCAGGTGGCTTCAGCTTCACCAATCCTGAGGACATCTTTGCCGAATTCATGCGCAGCTCGGGCGGAGGGCCTGGCGGAGGCGCTGGCATGGGCGACGATGACTTTGACATGTTCGGGAGTCCCTTTGGCGGCGCGGGAGGTGGTCGCGGAGGGCCCAGGAGGACAGCATCCTCCAAACGTCCACAGACACCTGAGATGCTCTCCGTGGAGCGACCGCTGCCCATCAGTCTCGAGGATTTATTCAACGGCGTGACAAAGAAGATGAAGATCAAAGCGAAGCGCTTCGACGCGTCTGGGAGGCAGATTGTCAAGGATCAAATTCTAGAGGTGCCCATCAAGCCCGGCCTGAAGAAGGGTTCCAAGATCAAGTTCAAGGGAGTTGGCGACCAGATTGAGGGTGGACGTCAGGACCTGCATTTTGTCATTGAAGAAGTAAGTCCAGTCATTCACAGTAAGCGAGGAATTGGAGCTAACGACATTGTAGAAACCACACCCCTTGTTCAGCCGCGAGGACAACGATCTAGTCTTCCAAGTCACGCTGGGGCTAAAGGAGGCTCTGACAGGGTGGAAGCGCACTGTCACGACTCTTGACGGAAAGAACATCAACCTTGAGAAGGCCGGACCTACACAACCCGGCAGCGAAGAGCGATACCCAGGGCTCGGCATGCCCATCACCAAGAAGCCCAACACGAGGGGTGATCTGATCTTCCGTTACAAGGTGCAATTCCCGTCGAGTCTGACGGCTGACCAGAAGGCAAAGTTGCGCGAAATTTTGTAAGGGGTGAACTGAAGGAAGTTTCCGGTGTGCTACCCGCACAACGGGCCAAGGAGGAGAAAAAGCAGAGGTCTCTGTGTGCGAGCGGGCGGCGGTGTGGGCACATGTTTTTTATTTTAATTTGGTGTGACGACTTACTACAGGTGTTACGGCGTTTGAGGACCATGAGCGTCGACGCGATTGTTTACATACACAGGTGCTGTTGCAGTGGAGCATTAGGAAACTCAGCCGTTTTGACAGCCTCTCATTACTACATATTCAAAGTGCAGGTAGAAATTTTGCGAATCGTTAGCTGGAAGATACAATCTACTAATTCGAAAGCACGTGTAGAGAAGAGGTATCCAATGTGCTTGGTTATCCATAGATCGAACTGTCAGACGAAGTGGTACCTGGCGATCAATAGCGGGGAAGCTCTAGATACCAGTCTACCTAGGTAGGAGTCAAATTGTCCACACATCGCCAGATCTAACCTAGCGGCGAGCAGCACTCATAAGCATCGGCTTGCAAGGGAAATGGTCCGACAAGCTATCCTGCACGAGTCCATTACAAGACATCGATTCGATGTTGGCGTGAGCCTGGCGTGCAGCCGATCAATGACGACAGAGAGGGGCAGCCGTCAGCGCGCGAGGAGGAGGAGGGGCGGTGGGCGACTTTATAAGCTGATCAACATCGAACCCATTCACAGCGCTAGAAGTTGGCACTTTTAATAACAGGTCATCGGAATGAGACGCGCTCTGCTTGGTTACATTAGATGATCTCGAGATGCGACTGCCCGGTATCCCGAACGCAGGTGTGTGCAAACGAGACCTCGTACTGCTGCTCTCTGCTTGCTTGTCTGAGGGGTTTTTCTCTCACATCGACACGGACGGCCTAGTCAGTGCGTCCGTTGGTCACCTCGACCGGTCCCCTCTTCCTTGCTCCCCTCGTCCCGCCCCTCGACAGGCATGGACTTTAACGCTCTCGCTCTCGCTCGTGTCATGGTGAATTGGCCGATATTAGCTGCCGCTTGAGCTGTTCTCTCGACCCACTCGCTAACTCGTTTGATCCCGATCCCTGCACCGCGAAAACCCAAGAGAAGGGTGCTCACGTACGTACGTAGTAGTAGGTAAACCAGTCCATTCTGTGACGTGTTGAGCATCAGTCCCGATTTCTACTTAAAGCACCAGTGGATCCCTACCCTATCCAGTAGTCCACTCCAGACTTTCCGCCCTCTTCCTCTCCGTCTGCATTTCCCAGCCGCCTTCGTCTTGTCCCTCGCTCACCTTTGCAGTCAGACATCTAGTTAGACGGTTTAGACACCCGCCGCCATCATGCCTCAGGTAAGTGATTCACGACTGGGCGAATTCCCCCCCCCAATCGTACTAATGGGGTCCATCATAGATCACCACCCTCTTGTTCGATTGCGACAACACCCTCGTGCTCTCCGAGGAGCTTGCTTTCGAGGCCTGCGCTGAGCTTATCAACGAGATCTGCAAAGACCGCAACCTGGACCTGCGCTTCACGGGCCAGACTCTGATCCAGGAGTTTGTCGGACAGAACTTCCGTGGCATGCTTACGTCGCTCCAAGAGCGCTATGGCATTGAGATCGTCCCCGCTGACCTCGAGAGCTACGTGCGGGCCGAGGAGGATGCCGTCATCGCCAAGCTCAAGGCTTCGCTCCGCCCATGCGAGGGTGTCGACGACGAACTCAAGCGCCTGAACGACACGGGCAAGTACACCATGAGCGTCGTCTCCTCGTCGGCCCTCCGCCGTGTGCGCGCTTCGATCGAAAAGGTCGGCCAGGACAAGTACTTCCAGGGCGAGGTCGTCTTCTCCGCTGCCTCGTCCCTGCCCAAGCCCACCAGCAAGCCCGACCCGGCCGTCTACCTGTTTGCCCTGGAGAAGCTCGGCAAGAAGGCGGAGGAGTCCGTTGCGATTGAGGACAGCAAGAGCGGCACCCTCAGTGCCACCCGCGCGGGCATCAAGGTTGTCGGGTACGTTGGCCCGTACGAGGAGGACAAGAAGGAAGAGATGGTCAAGGTCCTCAAGAATGCCGGTGCCAAGGTCATCATGTACCACTGGTCGGAGTTCCCTAGCATCCTGGAGAAGATCGAGGCCGGCGAGGTTTAGACGTGTGCTGTGAGAGGAAGGAATGGAATATACGAGACATCTATACAGATCAACGACGCAATGAGAGCCTTTTGTCATCTTCGCCAATCCATGAGAAAGCTATTGACAGCTTGCAACGTGCTCCTACTTGGGTTGCCAGCTGGGTAGGCGGTCATGATTGTGCCCAGTCGCCTCTTGACGAAAGTCTTTGTAAAGGTGGGTTCGTCGCCGGCGCTGCGAACTGTGCCTGCGTCGTCTGCGAAAAGGTAGCAAGAAAGTGCGAGTGCCGTGCCGATAGACAGGTCTCTGCCCGATTCACACGCAATGATGACCTTCTCTGCCCCGGCGTCAAAACTTTTGGATGCAAAAGAACATATGTGCGGTAGAGCAAGTCTCAGGTTGCGACTAGCAGCCTTTCCACTCCCAAGCCCGACCTCGATGAGACGTGGTGACTTGACCCAGTTCTCTGGTTTGGACGTCTCGCTTGTCAAACAGACGCAGCAAGCTGAGGCGTCTGGCTCCAACGGCAAGGGGCAGACACACATTCTGTGCGTGACTCGGACCAGATTCGTATTGGCCTTCCTCTTCGACTTGTCCTGTGCGATCAGTGTATGGATGAAGTCCGGGAGGTCATCCTCGTCTGTTTTCAGTAAGTCATCGACGTTGCTCCAAAAGATATCTGGCGTAAGACCGTGGGCCCAGTTCTCCGTGTCGTCAGCCGCGCCCTGGATGTAACCGCCCTCGTCGGTTTCACTTCCTCCAACGACGCGCCTACTGGCCGTGCAGCAGATGACTGGTCTATAATCACTGTAGACTGTTTTCTGAGGTACCTCAATTTGCGAGTCTTGCGTCACCCAATACGGGCGCAGAGGTTTTGTCAGAGTCGTAGGAATGGTGGCCAGATTGAGTGCTTTGAGTGAGGCAAGAAACTCGGGGATCAAGGCTGTGATTTGCGCGTGTGTGCTCAAGGAATGGCTTGGCGGTAAGAAGAGGTTGCCTGAAAGAGGGTGGTCTGGGAGGAGGAAGAGGTTGATCACGGTGCACCATATGGGTATCGTCGTGGACAGGGCATCGGGCATTCGCTTGCCACGGCGTGTCGAGTCGACAATGATGGCACTTTTCGATGAGTACAATGTTTCACTAGAGTATGTGGGAGGTCGCTTACCCATCGTGCTTTTCAAACGTGTCCACCAGGTGCAGATTCAACCTCCTAGTGCTAAACTTCCACGCGCGCTCGTGGCCGTCGGTGCTCTTGAAGTAGGCGCTCCCATCCTTGCGCTCTGGTTGAATGTACCAACTGCCACATCTCTCATTGGCGATGAGCGGGCGCGCTGGGAAGAGTGACGCAACGTGGAGGATGAAGGATGAGTCGGTGCGGATGGAGGTGAGGCGGTTGTGGATGGAGAGGTTGCGCGTGCGCAGGCTTGTGAGCAATGATGAAAGCGATGGCTGCGCTGCTTGAGATGGGAAGATGAGGTCCTTGTACTGGGGCTCCGGCATCTTGAATGTTGGGTGACGACGTCGTGCTGAGGCATGAGTCGATTTTGATCATTGGCGAGAACTGAGAATAGACACACTCTCATACGTGTAGTTTTGAAAAGGTGGGTCCGTCCTAGGGCAGTGAACAGCAGCTTCACTAACACGTCGTGCAACAACGACATTGTTCTATGGAAATATGCCAACTTCATATCTGGTCTATATTATCCGACGGTTAGTCAAGGGCATCTTTCTATATAATTGATGGCATGGTTTGTTCCCTACCATGGGTTGACCAGTACTTGACGGACGTGGTGTCTGTGACTCCCCATGCCTGTGTAAGTGATAGCATGCACGCATTCATTCTTCAGCAACACCAACATTCAGCTTCCGAACTTCAATGATGCTCATCCAAGTCAATATGCATCTTCTCTGCTCCCTTGTCTCCGGTATCAAGACAAAATGCTGCATGCGAAGCACTGAGATGCATCGGGGTCAGCTCAGTGTTTACATTGATGGTTGCCCCAAGTCCGTCAGCGATTGACCACTTGCTCTTTGATGTACACTCGGCTTTATATATAGTTTCTTCTACTTGCAGGAGTAATCTTCAAATAATATGGAGCTCTGCCCATGATGATGCAGAGGGAGTGTTATCACAAATGATCCCTTTCGTCCTGGCCATCAACCAGCGTACAAGACGGACCAACCAACAGTTTGGCAATACTCATCCACCAACACGCATCGTGGGAGGCTCTCCTGGCATTGGCTTTTTTTGTCGCCATATTGTGTCTGGCCGAGAACGCGCAGGTGACCGTTGCCTCATCCCACCAGGACAGGGTCGACGATGCTCTCAGACGACTCCAAGAAGCTGTCCCCGAGGCCAAATACCAGCCCGCCGGATACAAAGTGGACTACTGTAGCCATGCGGCCGAGGCCAACCTGGAGCAGCTGTTATCCGCAGTGACAGAGCAAGGCACCAAACTGCTGGGCCACATTGGGCACATGGCAGCCAGGCCCAATCTCCGCGCCGGCTACACATCGTCCATCACCATCTCCTCGGGCCCTGTGGCGGAAAGACCCATACCGGGTGTCATCCACTACGCGGGCTACACCACGGCGCAGCAAGTCATTGCTCGAAGTCTTGCCCTGAACCTGGCCCCGCTGCGGGTGAACTGCGTCGCGCCAGGGGCTACGGAGACGGCGCTCTGGGAGGAGCAGCGCGACGCCATACGCGCCGAGTACAGAAAGACTTCGCTGTTGGAGAAGGCTGGGCGGCCAGAAGAGGTGGCGCAGGCGTGTCATTATCTCATCAAGAACACGGATGTGACAGGGCCGTTGTGAACAGCAACGGGGGGTCGAACCTGAAGTGATTTGTTGCACGGCTACGAGGGGCAAGGGTAGTTGAGAACCCTTCAAAGGGCCTGCGAGACAAGATTTCAACCGAATCACCATGCTGGGATTCCAATCGACGGTCCCATGTACCTTGACAACATCAATATAGTTCATATACTCATTATCGAAAGGTTCCACAGAGCGGCCGAGACATTCCAGTTCCTGCCAGCCCAAGGTTACTTCAGCTTCCAAGATTCACCTTCGATGACAATCTCCACCTCACGTCCCTCGTCAATACTCCTCCTCCCCGCCTCGAGAATGGCCGTCGTGGCAATCGTGTTCTTGAGCGTGGGCAGGCCCTTGTTGTCCAGGTCGTCCAGACTTGCCTTCTTCGCATTGATGGCGGTGCAGCCGTCAATGAACTTTTCAATCGACACGTACCCGTAGCCGGTGTGGCCCTGGAAGTTGCCGTCCTCGTCGGGGGCGTAGCGCATGTAGAAGGGGTTGACCCACTGGATCTGGCCGGCACTGTCGTCGGCCACCTCATAGCCGCGGTGGGCCTGGTCGACGCGGATGTCACCGTCGGCGGCCAGGTAGTGGAAGTACTGGTTGGTGTGGACGCCGGCGCGCTGGGGGGCGGTCCAGGAGGCCGTGTATACGCCGACGGCGCGCTTGGTGGGCGCGTCCTTCTTGGCCCATGTGACGAGCAGCGAGATGGTGTCCTCTGTCTCGTCCACGCAGCCCAGTTCGACGGCGACGCCCTTGGAGGACGAACCGGACACCTTGACGGGAACGTAGCCACGGTCCGACACCATGGAGTCACAAATATCGACATGGTGGCTGTTGAGGTAGTATGAAATGTCCGACTCCCTGCCAGCCCACGCCTTGAAGGTCTCGAGCTGGTACTTGGGCTGCGACATGTAGGAGTAGAAGTAGTTGAAGTCGCCCAGCTTCTTGGCCCTGAAGCGGGCGTCTGAGTAGGCGGGGTCGAAGCGCTTGTGGTGCTCGACAAAAACGTGGACGCCCTTCTCGCGGGCCTTTTGCATCAGGATCTGGTGGTGCTCGAGCTCCTTGACGGCAGGCTTGGTCAGGAGCACGTGGATGCCGCGCTCAATGGCGTAGAGGGCGATGGGGTAGTGGCTTGGGTCGGGTGTGAAGACGGTGATGGCGTCGCCGGGCTGGAGCTTGTCGATGGCGGCCTTGTAGGCGTCTGGGTCTTGGCTTTGGTTGTCCGGGAAGGAGTCGAAGGATGTGTCGAGGCCGTTGTAGGCCTGTGTGATGTTCTTATTGAGATGCTCGCGGATCGCGGGGAACTTTGTGCCGTTGACACCGGCCATGCTCAGGTTGCCCACCTTGCCGCGCCTGCGCAAGTCAAAGAGGGTGAGACCGACGACACCGACCTTCTTGTCTGAGGCAGAGGCGCCAGTGCCGACGAAACCAGTGGTATACTCGCCGGTACCGACCATCAGCACATTAGGAGGGGCCATCTTGTCGAATTCCAAGCTTAGCTTGTGAGGTTACGTCCAGAGAGTACTGTGCGCAGATAGGAACCGGGTCTGTGGCAGTGTAACAGATGAGGCTTTCGAGCGCGAAGTGATGAAGGGAGAAAAGAGAGTAGTGTGCGCCTCAAGAATAACTCATGCTTGACATCGACTCTTGAAGGGGCCCTTGAAGCGGAGAAATTGGAGAGCTCGGGTGGCGGAGGGGCAGCAATTGGAGGGAAAAGTACACCCCGCCATCATGGCGAGTAGGTGGCATTGGAGCCTTGGAGGTACCACCTTTTCAGGGCATCGTCGGCGAGGCTAGCTCAGCGGTTGAATGTGGATGGAGTTCAAACGGTCTTGTGGAGATATCTGTGTCGATGATGAGGCTGGCCGACGGTGAATTCTTCCAGTATATTTGCTAATGCCTCGACGAATTGCCGTCATTGCTTGCTTGGCCGCTCTTTCCTTGATGATTACCACGCAGTATTCGTCAACTATCTCCGGACCCCCTTCATTGGAGACCCAGCCTTCACTTGCATGGGCCTACATACCAACTTACCGCTTGCATTATTTTTCAGTTGACGTGCAGGTATCGGGATTTAGAACTTCAGACCACGCCTTTATCCGCCGCGAGACCCCAGACGGGGCGTATGTCCTCTAAAAGTGTCCCCCACATCGACGACTGGACCCCGCAGTGCAGCAGAATCGAAGCAACTCGACGGAGTACTCTGTACCGTCCAGTGATTGAGCGCCCTCAAGACCGATTAGCGTATCTTTGTCACAAGAAAGCATCTTGGGCTCTGTCTCGCTATCTACTTATGAATCGGCCTCTTTTTTTTTTCTTGAACAAACTGATATGTCTAACATTGCGCAGAAATGCCGGCCGTTCTTTCCCCCCAACCAAGCCTCATTTCTGTGCCCCGTAAGTACGTAATTGACCACGATCAATTCCAGGCCCCTGATTGGTGGAGAATTTCAGGCCGTGGCACTTTGATCGTTTGCGCAGCGTAGAAGAACAGATCGCCAATCCGGCGGACCCGTACCTTGGATTGGAAGATTCAGAAGTTCGGTTTGAATTCCCGGCCTTGCATGGACAAACTCGCCATGTAGAGCGAAACATAGCCATCGTCACCATAGGGTTGCGCAGCTTTGGTGTGCTCGGCTTGCATCTCCCCCGAAACCCGAGCCTCTCGGATGAGCAAACGTGCATTCGTGATGGGTGCCCCTCCCCCAGACGCAGATCCCCTGCCCAATCTCTGCCCGCGTCCAGGGCGAGGGCCGCGAACATGCGACTTTCTTTCTATTCTCGCGACTGGCAACGCCGCCTCGGGCGCCAACAGCGGATGTGCCGACACATCCCACGCTCCTCCATCTCTGCCATGCCTCTCCTCGCTTTGGCTCACTAATCGAGCCTCGCGTGCCACCTCAGTCTCACGAAATCCTCCAGTGACGGACTGTTACGAGGGCAGACATGTCGTCTTAATATACTCCAAGCTGCCCTTATTGGTGCTAACACGCCACGCGACACCATCCACCTCCCCGTGGACCAGAAAGGGTTACCATCGGACATGCACTGAACCGGTACCTCCATCCTCGATTCCTCAGCCTATATCGGACAAATGCTGGTCAGCCCCACAGGCACGAGAGCTCACCCGACGGGTGTCCCAGATGTTGGAGTTCTCCATAGCCTAGCCCCACGGGCGTGGTCCCCCCCATGACTTTCTTTATAAGTCAATCACCCGATCCCCGCGCCTACTGCTGATACTCGTCCTGCCAATCCTTGCCCTCATCAGCTTCTCCAGTCCTCACACGAAAACCTCACCATGGCTTCCAACGGCTCAGGACCACGCACGCTGCCATGTGGCATCTACGCGCCCACCATGACCTTCTTCGACCCCGAGACGGAGGATCTCGACATCCCCACCATCAAGAAGCACGCGGAGCGCCTGGCCAAGAGCGGTCTCGTCGGGCTCGTCACCTTGGGCTCCAATGGCGAGGCCGTCCATTGTACGCGGGAGGAGAAATTGGCCATCACCCAGGCGACACGCGAGGCGCTGGACGAGGCTGGCTTCACGTCCATGCCCATCATCTTTGGCGCCACCGAGGGCAGCGTCCGCGGCACCATTGAGCTCTGCCAGGCCGCGCACAAGGTGGGCGCCGACTACGCCATGCTCCTCCCGCCCTCGTACTACAAGGCGCAGATGGACGCCGAAGCCATCTTCAACTACTTCATCGCCGTCGCCGACAAGAGCCCCCTCCCCGTCATCATCTACAACTACCCCGGCGCCGTCTCGGGCATCGACCTCGACAGCGACACCCTCCTCCAGCTCTCTGAGCACCCCAACATTGTCGGCACCAAGTTCACCTGTGGCAACACGGGCAAGCTCACGCGCGTCGCGCAGGGCACCAAGGCCAAGACCCCCTTTAACGAGGGCTCGGGGTACATGGCCTTTGGCGGCATGTGCGACTTCACCGTCCAGACGCTGGTCAGCGGCGGCAGCGGCATCATCGCCGGCGGCGCCAACGTGCTGCCCAAGCTCTGCGTGCGCGTGTGGAATCTGTGGGCCGAGGGCAAGCGTGACGAAGCAGAGGCCCTCCAGAAGGTGCTGAGCAAAGGGGACTGGCCAATGACCAAGGCGGCCATTGCCGGTACCAAGCAGGCTATCCAGATACATTACGGCTACGGAGGATATCCCCGGCCGCCTCTGAAGAGGCTCGACAAGGCACAGCTCGCTGCCATTGAGAAGGGAACGGCCGAGGCGATGGAAGTGGAGAAGTCATTGTAGGAGCGCAGCATTGGGCTTGAATCCCATTTGATAAGTTTGTGCCTTCGTTTATGCATGTAATGTCGTCGGTGTTGGCTCCCTCTTGCTACAAGACCCTGCAGATCCTCGGAATGTGGATAGTGACCTCGATATCGGAAGTCGGGGAACCTGGAGGTGGATGATCTTCTTTCCCCGGAATCACAATAAATCGATGTGGGCGGGATCGCGAAGTATCAGCTGGTGGCGCATTTCGATGACGGCAGTCGCACGTCTAACATTGTGCGGTATGATCGGATTGGGTGAATCTTTGCGCCTCACCAAAGTGTCAGTTTACAATTTATTTATTCTACAGGATGGCACAAGGAAATTCAAAGTCTCTATTCGCCCAATTCGGCATAATTAAATGAAAGTCTCGGGCAGTCAGGAGGGTTTGCCCCGGCCGTTCCATGCCCTCCAGGCAGTGGTGCAACGCTGATATCAGTGGGTCGTCATTCGTCCATCGTCAGGGGCTGCATGGTGAGAGGCAACGAAGGAATTCCTCCGGTCTCTGTATCGAGACGACCAATCAGAGCTTGGTTTATGGTCAGAACGAGATGTCCCTTGGTCACTTGCATGGTATCTAGCGAGCCTGGTTGTGCTGTTGGGTGATGTGATGTGAGGCCAGGCCTGGCAGGCTTCATGTCTTTGCTCATCATGACAGACACGCCTCCCATCCGAGCCAACTGATGTCAGCACTCACCGGAAGGCTCAATAAAATGCTTTTCATGTGCTTACTTGAAATCGCCGTATAAGTAACGCTCTGCACTCGGGACTCTCCCGCTTTGGCATCCTGTTCTTCCCAACAACATGCCTGCTCTTCGCACTATCACAACTCCACTGAGCACCCTGCCCAAGCTTCACCTACGTGCACTAGCCACCTCTCAAAAGCCTACCACAGCCATGTCTACCATCTCTTCCGCCATCACCAAGGACCACCGGGAGCTGGAGCAGTACTACAACCAAGTTATCAACACCACCAACCATGACCACCAGCAGCGCTATGGTAACCAGTGCACCTGGGAGCTCGCCCGCCACTCCGTCGGGGAGGAGCTCGTCGTCTACCCTGCTTTCGAAAAGTTCCTAGGTGCCAAGGGCAAGGAAATGGCCGAGAGCGACCGCAAGGAGCATCACCAGGTAAGACCTCTGAATCCATAGAAGAGGAGGCGACGCTGACATGTCCCGCTGCAGGTGAAGGAGCTGCTCAAGATCTTCCAGGACCTGTCCTCGACGGATCCCCGGTATCTTTCCATGCTCAAAGAGATCTGGGAGCCGCTGTCCAAGCACATGAAGGAAGAGGAGGAGCAAGACATGCCCGCCCTTGAGGAGGCGCTGCAGGCCGAGCAGGACGCCTCGTCCAAGATGGCCACGAGCTTTGGACGGACCAAGATGTTTGTCCCGAGTCGGAGCCACCCCAGCGCCGGCGAGCACCCGCCCTTCGAGACGGTCATGGGACTCTTGACGGCGCCGTTTGATCACGTCGCGGACATTTTCAGGAAATTCCCCGACCAGACTGTCTCCCCCAACCCGTCCACCAAGTGACAAGCAACCTTCCGACATGTGGATGACATAGGGGGCGTCACAGCACTGTGATTTTGGAGTTCATTTGAGCAGAGTATACGAGTTCCATCAATGATTAATGGGCTTCATCGGGCATCTCGTGTTTTGGCCACTCCGTGAAGAGGCACACTGCGTGATGTATAGTGTGGCCATGGCAGGCCTCGCCACAGGGGACTGATATGGCCTGTACAATCGGGAGATTATGGGCCACCCATCACCCAAGCACCCAGGTTTGCCAACGCTCCCATTTCGCAGAAACCAGCTCGTTGAGTTGCATGCACAGCACGAATGCGACATGTCGGCGCAGCCAATGGCGACCATCGTACACTCCGGAAGAGGCAATTGCGGGTCCACGTTCTACAGCTGCATCGACTCGAGCCCTGAAAGAACCGGGCCAGAAACTCAGTCCAGTCTCCGAGTCGGGCTTACAGAGAAATCATCTTCTAACTTCTCATGCAAAATACGATTCGAACTTTGGGAGGAAAACATTTCCGTGTAGTGTCCTACCCAGGGTGCAAAGGATGCAGATACCCGGAAGAGCCCTGCCGAGCTGGATCCTCCCCACACAGCCCACGCGTCAGCCCTATATGTCGCAACATCATGAAAAATCTTCATCCAACATTTAACAGAGGTCGCGTGGCCCAATGGCAAGGCGTTTGACTACGATTCACTGTACATCAAAAGATTGTGGGTTCGATCCCCACCGTGACCTTTCACTTTTGCCCTCGACGGCCATTGTATACCGTGAGACATAGGATTCTCTTTTTTGGTCTTTGAGGGATCAACCTGGGTGTGCAA